TGTTGCAGGTGAAGGTGATGCATAAGCAGCTGCTGCTCTTCCATAACGCCATCTCAGCGTATTTTGCAGGAAACCAGCAGCAGTTGGAACAGACTCTGATACAGTTCAACGTCAAACTAAAGCCTCCCGGGTCAGACAAGCCCTCCTGGCTGGAGGAGCAGTAGGAGGAGCAGGAGGAGGAGAGAGGAGGAGAGAGGAGGAGCAGTAGGAGGAGAACTAGGAGGAGCAGTTGGAGCAGCAGTGAGACGCCTGAGGAGGAGGAGCAGCAGGAGGAAGAGCAGCAGGAGGAGGAGCAGCAGGAGGAAGAGCAGCAGGAGGAGCAGCAGCAGGAGGCCTACACATCTTTTGCACCTCCTCCATGACCTTTTGGAAGTGTGACTGTTTTTTATCAGTTGTTTCCTTGTTTGTTTTACCTGTGGGTTCTGTCATGATTTACAATTAAGTTTATCATCTTTACTGCAACCAAGTAACATCTACAGATTTCCAGAAGAGAACTGTGTCCCTGTGAGCTCCTGTCCCTGTGAGTTCCTTACCCTGTGAGCTCCTGTCTGTCCCTGTGAGCTCCTGTCCCTGTGAGCTCCTGTCCCTGTGTCCCTGTGAGCTCCTGACCCTGTGAGCTCCTGACCCTGTGAGCTCCTGACCCTGTGAGCTCCTGTCCCTGTGAGCTCCTGACCCTGTGAGCTCCTGTCTGTCCCTGTGAGCTCCTGTCCCTGTGAGTTCCTTACCCTGTGAGCTCCTGTCTGTCCCTGTGAGCTCCTGTCCCTGTGAGCTCCTGTCCCTGTGTCCCTGTGAGCTCCTGACCCTGTGATCTCCTGTCCCTGTGAGCTCCTGTCCCTGTGAGCTCCTGTCCCTGTGAGTTCCTTACCCTGTGAGCTCCTGTCTGTCCCTGTGAGCTCCTGTCCCTGTGTCCCTGTGAGCTCCTGACCCTGTGAGCTCCTGTCCCTGTGTCCCTGTGAGCTCCTGACCCTGTGAGCTCCTGTCCCTGTGATCTCCTGTCCCTGTGATCTCCTGTCCCTGTGAGCTCCTGTCCCTGTGAGCTCCTGTCCCTGTGAGTTCCTTACCCTGTGAGCTCCTGTCTGTCCCTGTGAGCTCCTGTCCCTGTGAGCTCCTGTCTGTCCCTGTGAGCTCCTGTCCCTGTGAGCTCCTGTCCCTGTGAGCTCCTGTCCCTGTGTCCCTGTGAGCTCCTGTCCCTGTGATCTCCTGTCCCTGTGAGCTCCTGACCCTGTGAGCTCCTGTCCCTGTGAGCTCCTGTCCCTGTGATCTCCTGTCCCTGTGAGCTCCTGTCCCTGTGAGCTCCTGTCCCTGTGTCCCTGTGAGCTCCTGTCCCTGTGATCTCCTGTCCCTGTGAGCTCCTGACCCTGTGAGCTCCTGTCCCTGTGAGCTCCTGTCCCTGTGAGCTCCTGACCCTGTGAGCTCCTGTCCCTGTGAGCTCCTGTCCCTGTGATCTCCTGTCCCTGTGAGCTCCTGTCCCTGTGAGCTCCTGACCCTGGACAGACTTTAGATCTATTTTCTTATTGATCTTCTTTTTGAAATGTTTTGGCTCCGTTCGTCCAGAAGCTTTTTACAGAAACATAATGTTATTTATTCACTTTAGTTTTTTAATGAACAAGAAAATATCCAACGGTTTCGTAAGCCCCGTTTCCACCAGCCCTACTCTCCTCTCTTTTCTATACTACAGGGTAGAGTAGAGTAGAGTAGAGTAGAGCAGGGTAGAGTAGAGCAGGGTAGAGTAGAGTAGGGTAGAGCAGAGTAGGGTAGAGTAGAGTAGAGTAGAGCAGGGTTGAGTAGGGTAGGGTATGGTAGAGTAGAGTAGGGCAGATAGGGTAGAGTGGAGTACAGTAGGGTAGAGCAGAGTAGAGTAGAGTAGAGTAAAGTAGATTAGGGTAGAGCAGAGCAGAGCAGGGTAGAGTAGAGTAGAGTAGAGTAGAGTAGAGTAGAGTAGAGTAGAGTAGAGTAGAGTAGAGTAGAGTAGAGTAGAGCAGAGCAGAGCAGAGCAGGGCAGGGCAGGGCAGGGCAGGGCAGGGCAGAGCAGAGCAGAGCAGATTAGAGCAGAGCTGGTGGAAACGGGTCTACACAATCCCACATGCTTCCTCTGTTTATTGTTTGTGTTTTTGGCAGTGGGGGCGGGTCCCGGCTCAAAAGTGTCCAAAATGACGTGCGCTGACATGCTGCAGTACCACCCCGGGCCTGTGGGGGTGGACCCTGACATGCTGCAGTACCACCCTGGGCCTGTGGGGGTGGACCCTGACATGCTGCAGTACCACCCTGGGCCTGTGGGGGTGGACCCTGACATGCTGCAGTACCACCCTGGGCCTGTGGGGGTGGACCCTGACATGCTGCAGTACCACCCTGGGCCTGTGGGGGTGGACCCTGACATGCTGCAGTACCACCCCGGGCCTGTGGGGGTGGACCCTGACATGCTGCAGTACCACCCCGGGCCTGTGGGGGTGGACCCTGACATGCTGCAGTACCACCCCGGGCCTGTGGGGGTGGACCCTGACATGCTGCAGTACCACCCCGGGCCTGTGGGGGTGGACCCTGACATGCTGCAGTACCACCCCGGGCCTGTGGGGGTGGACCCTGACATGCTGCAGTACCACCCCGGGCCTGTGGGGGTGGACCTGGAAGAAGAATTAGCCAATGCTAACATATAGCATTAGCTGACCTCTGGAAAACGTCTTTACAGGATGGACCAAAACTTGGCTCTTGGCCCAAAGCTCCGTTCCACATGTGTGTCAATGCTGAGTGTTCTGGACCAGTCTAGTTTAGTCGCTGTGGACTTTAGAAGTGACTTGTTTAAATGAATGGGGCTCTCGCAGCTGACGCATGCACAGATGTGTTTTTTTCACAATTTTCTTGTGGGCGGGACCACTCGCGGCCATTTTGGATAGCTCCAGTAGAGCACATTTTTTGGCCCATTAGTTAGAACGGCGGAGATAGGCGTGACTCTGTCCGTTAATATATACAGTCTATGGTTTTTACTGAGACTGTAAATGTATACAGAGAAACCGCAAAGAAACCGCAGAGAAACTGCAGAGAAACCGCAAAGAAACCGCAGAGAAACTGCAGAGAAACTGCAGAGAAACTGCAGAGAAACCGCAGAGAAACTGCAGAGAAACCGCAGAGAAACTGCAGAGAAACCGCAAAGAAACTGCAGAGAAACCGTAGAGAAACTGCAGAGAAACCGCAAAGAAACTGCAGAGAAACCGTAGAGAAACTGCAGAGAAACCGCAAAGAAACTGCAGAGAAACCGTAGAGAAACTGCAGAGAAACTGCAGAGAAACCGCAGAGAAACTGCAGAGAAACCGCAAAGAAACTGCAGAGAAACTGCAGAGAAACTGCAGAGAAACTGCAGAGAAACCGCAGAGAAACTGCAGAGAAACCGCAAAGAAACTGCAGAGAAACTGCAGAGAAACCGCAAAGAAACTGCAGAGAAACCGCAGAGAAACTGCAGAGAAACCGCAAAGAAACTGCAGAGAAACTGCAGAGAAACTGCAGAGAAACTGCAGAGAAACCGCAGAGAAACTGCAGAGAAACCGCAAAGAAACTGCAGAGAAACTGCAGAGAAACCGCAAAGAAACCGGAGAGAAACTGCAGAGAAACCGCAGAGAAACTGCAGAGAAACCGCAAAGAAACTGCAGAGAAACCGCAAAGAAACCGCAGAGAAACTGCAGAGAAACCGCAAAGAAACCGCAGAGAAACTGCAGAGAAACTGCAGAGAAACTGCAGAGAAACCGCAGAGAAACTGCAGAGAAACCGCAGAGAAACTGCAGAGAAACCGCAAAGAAACTGCAGAGAAACCGTAGAGAAACTGCAGAGAAACCGCAAAGAAACTGCAGAGAAACCGTAGAGAAACTGCAGAGAAACCGCAAAGAAACTGCAGAGAAACCGTAGAGAAACTGCAGAGAAACTGCAGAGAAACCGCAGAGAAACTGCAGAGAAACCGCAAAGAAACTGCAGAGAAACTGCAGAGAAACTGCAGAGAAACTGCAGAGAAACCGCAGAGAAACTGCAGAGAAACCGCAAAGAAACTGCAGAGAAACTGCAGAGAAACCGCAAAGAAACCGCAGAGAAACTGCAGAGAAACCGCAAAGAAACCGCAGAGAAACTGCAGAGAAACTGCAGAGAAACTGCAGAGAAACCGCAGAGAAACTGCAGAGAAACCGCAGAGAAACTGCAGAGAAACCGCAAAGAAACTGCAGAGAAACCGTAGAGAAACTGCAGAGAAACTGCAGAGAAACTGCAGAGAAACCGTAGAGAAACTGCAGAGAAACCGCAAAGAAACTGCAGAGAAACCGTAGAGAAACTGCAGAGAAACTGCAGCGAAACCGGAGAGAAACTGCAGAGAAACCGCAAAGAAACTGCAGAGAAACCGTAGAGAAACTGCAGAGAAACCGCAAAGAAACTGCAGAGAAACCGTAGAGAAACTGCAGAGAAACCGCAAAGAAACTGCAGAGAAACCGCAAAGAAACTGCAGAGAAACTGCAGAGAAACTGCAGAGAAACTGCAGAGAAACTGCAGAGAAACTGCAGAGAAACCGCAGAGAAACTGCAGAGAAACCGCAAAGAAACTGCAGAGAAACCGTAAAGAAACTGCAGAGAAACTTCAGAGAAACTGCAGAGAAACTGCAGAGAAACCGTAGAGAAACTGCAGAGAAACTTCAGAGAAACTGCAGAGAAACTGCAGAGAAACCGTAGAGAAACTGCAGAGAAACTGCAGAGAAACTGCAGAGAAACCGTAGAGAAACTGCAGAGAAACCGTAGAGAAACTGCAGAGAAACTGCAGAGAAACTGCAGAGAAACCGCAGAGAAACCGTAGAGAAACTGCAGAGAAACCGGAGAGAAACTGCAGAGAAACTGCAGAGAAACTGCAGAGAAACTGCAGAGAAACCGGAGAGAAACCGGAGAGAAACTGCAGAGAAACTGCAGAGAAACTGCAGAGAAACTGCAGAGAAACTGCAGAGAAACCGTAGAGAAACTGCAGAGAAACCGCAAAGAAACTGCAGAGAAACTGCAGAGAAACTGCAGAGAAACCGTAGAGAAAGCTGAGAGTGTGAGAGGCCCAGCCCCAGACCCAGAGTATAGAACCCAGTGGGAGGTGATATTACAGACGTGCTCCAGTAGAGGGCAGCAGAGAGTCTGCCTCAGATGACGTCATTTTTCTTCTGTTGTTGTATTGTTTCAATAAAGTTATCTGTAATAATGTGTCTTATCTAAATAAATATGACGATGTAGATCTTTAATTCTCACAGTGAAATGTCAGTGTTGCATCGTCAAGTACAGAGCAGGAGAACGAGGAGCAATTCAACAACACATAGTTCAATCACAGAGAGACCACATGGTATTGGACCATAGAGAGAGACCACATGGTATTGGACCATAGAGAGAGACCACATGGTATTGGACCATAGGGAGAGTCCACATGGTATTGGACCATAGAGAGAGACCACATGGTATTGGACCATAGTGGGAGACCACATGGTATTGGACCATAGGGAGAGTCCACATGGTATTGGACCATAGTGGGAGACCACATGGTATTGGACCATAGGGAGAGACCACATGGTATTGGACCATAGTGGGAGACCACATGGTATTGGACCATAGGGAGAGTCCACATGGTATTGGACCATAGAGAGAGACCACATGGTATTGGACCATAGTGGGAGACCACATGGTATTGGACCATAGGGAGAGTCCACATGGTATTGGACCATAGAGAGAGACCACATGGTATTGGACCATAGTGAGAGACCACATGGTATTGGACCATAGAGAGAGACCACATGGTATTGGACCATAGGGAGAGACCACATGGTATTGGACCATAGTGAGAGACCACATGGTATTGGACCATAGAGAGAGACCACATGGTATTGGACCATAGGGAGAGACCACATGGTATTGGACCATAGAGAGAGACCACATGGTATTGGACCATAGAGAGAGACCACATGGTATTGGACCATAGTGAGAGACCACATGGTATTGGACCATAGAGAGAGACCACATGGTATTGGACCATAGTGAGAGACCACATGGTATTGGACCATAGAGAGAGACCACATGGTATTGGACCATAGGGAGAGACCACATGGTATTGGACCATAGGGAGAGACCACATGGTATTGGACCATAGGGAGAGACCACATGGTACTGGATCATAGGGAGAGACCACATGGTATTGGACCATAGAGAGAGACCACATGGTATTGGACCATAGAGAGAGACCACATGGTATTGGACCATAGGGAGAGACCACATGGTATTGGACCATAGGGAGAGACCACATGGTATTGGACCATAGGGAGAGACCACATGGTATTGGACCATAGGGAGAGACCACATGGTATTGGACCATAGGGAGAGACCACATGGTATTGGACCATAGGGAGAGACCACATGGTACCCTAGCCCTACAGTCAAACATTTACACACAATGAACACCACGTGTCTCTTCAGACGCACATTTATGTTCTAATCCATGGTTTTAATACATCTTAAAGCTAAATATTTTGATATCAATCATACATTATTGGATTTATTTTAAACATAATGATTGGAACAATTGTCACATTCTGAATCCACTTTTACAGATTATTATCAACATTTCCATTATATTGACATACTTTTTTTTCTTTCTTTTCTTTCCATTCAACGTTTTACGACAAACATCAACACTTTACGCCCCACAAAGCGCTGGTCCGCCATGTTTGTAGTCTTTTAACGGATCAATACTCGCTCCTATCAGTTTGACCCAGTCTCGTGACTCGGGTCTGGATCAATTTAAAGCCAAAAATGAGACAAAATAGACCTTTATTGACTTGAAAACACCGCGTAAAGAACACAACTTCAGCGTAAGAAGAAGAATGACGGAGGTGATAATGTCCTCGGCCGTGTGAAGAAATGACGTCAGCGTGGACATGTTCAGGCGTGACGCGGTTTCGACACAGGAGCTGAAGTCTGCGGCTGCAGGAGACGCCCGGGGAAAAGGAATCACTCCGGGAACAGAAGACGTGTGTTTTAAAGGTGAGTTTTTCACTTGTTTTGTAGAGTTTTGTCCACGTTAATGCTGTTTATAAAACTGTTACCATAGTTACAGACTGTGTCCTGATCCTACTGCAGTGACATTACTACTGTAGGAGCAGAGTATACGTGTTCTATAGCTTCTATATCATCAACACTGACAAACGTAACCTGTCTGTGCTTTTAAAGCTGCAGTACCGAAGTTTGTCACGTACAGTAAATATTACATGTTTGACGTTGTCTTCATCTTAATAGAAAATATATTTGTTTTGTCTACATTTGGGTAAGAACTTTGTGAGTCACTATTGGACTCTTTGGGCTCTTTTTCACTTTCATGAAGTAAAGATGTGACGGAGGCATGGTCTCTCTCTGGTCTCTCTCTGGTCTCTCTCTGGTCTCTCTCTGGTCTCTCTCTGGTCTCTCTCTCTGGTCTCTCTCTGGTCTCGCTCTGGTCTCTCTCTCTGGTTTCTCTCTGGTCTCTCTCTGGTCTCTCTCTCTGGTTTCTCTCTGGTCTCTCTCTGGTCTCTCTCTCTCTGGTTTCTCTCTGGTCTCTCTCTGGTCTCTCTCTGGTCTCTCTCTCTGGTCTCTCTCTGGTCTCTCTCTGGTCTCTCTCTGGTCTCTCTCTCTGGTCTCTCTCTGGTCTCGCTGGTCTTTCTGGTCTCTCTGGTCTCTCTCTGGTCTCTCTCTCTGGTCTCTCTCTGGTCTCGCTGGTCTTTCTGGTCTCTCTAGTCTCTCTCTAGTCTCTCTCTCTCTGGTCTCCTCTCTCTCCTCTGCCTCCTCTCTCTCTCTCACTCTGGTCTCTCTCTGGTCTCTCTCTCTGGTCTCTCTCTGGTCTCGCTGGTCTTTCTGGTCTCTCTAGTCTCTCTCTAGTCTCTCTCTCTCTGGTCTCCTCTCTCTCCTCTGCCTCCTCTCTCTCTCTCACTCTGGTCTCTCTCTGGTCTCTCTCTCTCTCTGGTCTCTCTCTGGTCTCTCTCTGGTCTATCTCTCTGGTCTATTCTTCTGGTCTATCTCTGGTCTCTCTTTCTCTGTCTCCTCCTCCCCCTCCTCTGCCTCCTCTTCCTCCCCCTCCTCTGCCTCCTCTTAAAGCAGTCTTTGATGTCATTAACATGAGTTCACTGTGACATTCTGCAAATATTGAACTTTTTAATGAAGAGGATTTGAACGGAACTTGTTCCTCTTCTTTGCAGCTGTGTCCCAGATGTGCGTCTGAGAGAGCTTTCTCCAAACATGCCTCCTACACCTCCTCCTCCTCCTCCTCCACCTCCCCCTCCTCCACCTCCTCCTCCTCCCCCACCTCCTCCTCCCGGGCCGGGCCTCCCCTCTCTCCCTGGCTCCAGTTCTCTGCGTCCCCGGATGAGGACCTTTGACTGGGACACGCTGCCGCAGAACTCTGTCCTGGGACGACACAACATCTGGACCGAGGAGCGTCCTCCCGGAGACTACAATCTGGACACGCAGCACATGGAGGAACTATTCAGCAAGAGGCAGCAGGAGAACAAGCAACACCTCAGCATCAGAGGGCCCAGCTCCAGCACATCACAGGTACTACTGCCCCAGAGAGAGCACAGGTACTACTGCCTCAGAGCTACAGGTACTACTGCCCCAGACAGAGCACAGGTACTACTCCACTGAGAGCACAGGTACTGCTGAAAAGAGAGAGCACAGGTACTGCCCCTCAGAGATACTATGTCAGGATCTCCACAGACCATAAGACATAAATTATTGAGAGGGGGCGGGGCAGACAGCAGGAGGTGTGAGAGGGGGCGGGGCAGACAGCAGGAGGTGTGAGAGGGGGCGGGGCAGACAGCAGGAGGTGTGAGAGGGGGCGGGGCAGACATTAGGAGGTGTGAGAGGGGGCGGGGCAGACAGCAGGAGGTGTGAGAGGGGGCGGGGCAGACAGCAGGAGGTGTGAGAGGGGGCGGGGCTGACAGCAGGAGGTGTGAGAGGGGGCGGGGCTGACAACAGGAGGTGTGAGAGGGGGCGGGGCTGACAACAGGAGGTGTGAGAGGGGGCGGGGCAGACAGCAGGAGGTGTGAGAGGGGGCGGGGCTGACAACAGGAGGTGTGAGAGGGGGCGGGGTAGACAGCAGGAGGTGTGAGAGGGGGCAGGGCAGACAGCAGGAGGTGTGAGAGGGGGCAGGGCTGACAGCAGGAGGTGTGAGAGGGGGCGGGGCATACAGCAGGAGGTGTGAGAGGGGGCGGGGCTGACAGCAGGAGGTGTGAGAGGGGGCAGGGCTGACAGCAGGAGGTGTGAGAGGGGGCGGGGCAGACAGCAGGAGGTGTGAGAGGGGGCGGGGCTGACAGCAGGAGGTGTGAGAGGGGGCGGGGCTGACAACAGGAGGTGTGAGAGGGGGCAGGGCTGACAGCAGGAGGTGTGAGAGGGGGCGGGGCATACAGCAGGAGGTGTGAGAGGGGGCGGGGCATACAGCAGGAGGTGTGAGAGGGGGCGGGGCAGACAACAGGAGGTGTGAGAGGGGGCGGGGCATACAGCAGGAGGTGTGAGAGGGGGCGGGGCATACAGCAGGAGGTGTGAGAGGGGGTGGGGCATACAGCAGGAGGTGTGAGAGGGGATGGGGCAGACAGCAGGAGGTGTGAGAGGGGGTGGGGCAGACAGCAGGAGGTGTGAGAGGGGGTGGGGCAGACAACAGGAGGTGTGAGAGGGGGCGGGGCATACAGCAGGAGGTGTGAGAGGGGGCGGGGCTGACAGCAGGAGGTGAACTAACCCAGCCCCCCTGCACCCCCCTGTCAGTCACCGCTGCTCAGGTGAGGACGGAGATGAGGAGGATAAAGACCAGAAAGGCACCAGGACCAGATAACATCAGCTCCAGGCTCCTTCGCTCCTGTGCAGACGAACTCTGTGGAGTGATGGAGCGAGTCTTCAACCTGAGCCTCAAGCTGAGGGTGGTACCACAGCTCTGGAAGACCTCCTGTGTGGTACCGGTGCCCAAGAAACCACGGGCCAAAGACCTCAGCGACTTCAGGCCAGTGGCTCTAACATCCCACTGCATGAAGACACTGGAGAGACTGGTCCTGGGACATCTCCGCTCCACTCTGAGCCCAGCGATGGACCCGCTGCAGTTTGCCTACAGGCCGGGCATCGGAGTCGAGGACGCCATCATCTCCCTCCTCCATCGCTCCCTGTCCCACCTGGAGAAACCCGGCACCGCTGTGAGGATTCTGTTCTTCGACTTCTCCAGTGCCTTCAACACCATCCAGCCGAGGCTTCTCAGGGACAAGCTGGAGACAGCTGGAGTGGACTACGACCTGTCCCAGTGGATCCTGGACTACCTCACAGACAGACCCCAGTTTGTGAGAACCAGGGACTTTGTGTCTGAGGTCCTGACCTGCAGTGTGGGGGCCCCCCAGGGAACTGTCCTCGCACCGTTCCTCTTCACCCTCTACACTGCGGACTTCAGACACAACACGGACGGTTGTGTTCTACAGAAGTTCTCTGACGACTCTGCCATCATCGGACTCAGCTCCGAGGACGATGACACAGAGTACAGAGGAGTTATACAGGACTTTGTGGACTGATGTCAGCGGAACCACCTCCTCATCAACGTGAGGAAGACCAAGGAGATGAACCACCTCCTCATCAACGTGAGGAAGACCAAGGAGATGAACCACCTCCTCATCAACGCAAGGAAGACCAAGGAGATGAACCACCTCCTCATCAACGTGAGGAAGACCAAGGAGATGAACCACCTCCTCATCAACGTGAGGAAGACCAAGGAGATGAACCACCTCCTCATCAACGCAAGGAAGACCAAGGAGATGAACCACCTCCTCATCAACGCGGGGAAGACCAAGGAGATGAACCACCTCCTCATCAACGCGGGGAAGACCAAGGAGATGAACCACCTCCTCATCAACGTGAGGAAGACCAAGGAGATGAACCACCTCCTCATCAACGTGAGGAAGACCAAGGAGATGAACCACCTCCTCATCAACGCAAGGAAGACCAAGGAGATGAACCACCTCCTCATCAACGCGGGGAAGACCAAGGAGATGAACCACCTCCTCATCAACGTGAGGAAGACCAAGGAGATGAACCACCTCCTCATCAACGTGAGGAAGACCAAGGAGATGAACCACCTCCTCATCAACGCGGGGAAGACCAAGGAGATGAACCACCTCCTCATCAACGTGAGGAAGACCAAGGAGATGAACCACCTCCTCATCAACGTGAGGAAGACCAAGAAGATGAACCACCTCCTCATCAACGCGAGGAAGACCAAGGAGATGAACCACCTCCTCATCAACGTGAGGAAGACCAAGGAGATGAACCACCTCCTCATCAACGTGAGGAAGACCAAGGAGATGAACCACAAACTGGACTGGACTCATAACACAGACGCCCTCTTCAAGAAGGGCCAGAGTCGCCTCTACCTGCTGAGGAGGCTCAGGTCTTTTGGAGTGCAGGGGCCACTCCTGAAGACCTTCTATGACTCTGTGGTGGCATCAGCCTCTTGTACGGTGTAGTCTGCTGGAACAGCAGCATCACAGAGAGGGACAGGAAGAAGCTGGAACATCAGGAAGTCCAGCTCAGTCCTGGGCTGTTCCCTGGACACAGTGCAGCAGGTGGGGGACAGGAGGGTCCTGAGCAAACTAACATCTATGCTGGACCATGACTGTCGCCCCCTGCAGGACACTCTCTCTGCTCTGGAGAGCAGCTTCAGTGACAGACTAATTCACCCTCGCTGTGTGAAGGAGAGGTTCCGTAGGTCTTTCCTTCCTGCTGCTGTCAGACTGTACAATAAGAACTGCTGAGCCTCCATCCATCCATCCATCCATGTTCTACCCTTTAATCCATTTCTGGGTCAGGGGGGTGGCAGTCAGAGATGCCACCCAAGTCTCATAGCACCAGCCCCTCACTGACCCTCTGTAGGTGGTGAGTCCACAGGAGGCTGCTCTCTGAGTGTGAGCATAGCCTTGATCTTTCAGTGGGGGCTTTGGGCAAAGTGGGGTTAAGTGTCTTGCCCAAGGACACAACGACAGCAGTCATCAGTGGGAGTCGGTGGAGAAGGTGCAGAGGTGGGAATTGAACCCACGACCTTCTGGCCTTAAGGCCAATGCTCTACCAACTGAGCTACTGTCGCCCCTGAGCTACTGTCGCCCCTGCTGAGCCTGTAAATTTCGTTCATCTGTAATTAAGTAAATTCCATGTGTAAATGGATTTTTAGCTTTTTAACAGACAGATCTCAGAGAGTGAAAATCAATGGCTGTTTTTCTGATGTTGTTTCTGTGAGCACTGGATCTCCTCAGGGATGTATTTTGAGTCCTCTGCTTTTTACTTTGTACACTCACGATTGTGTGTCCTCCTCTGACTCAAACTTGATCATCAAATATGCTGATGACACCACCATCATCAGTCTCATCAGTGACAATGATGAATCCTCTTATAGAGCAGAGATACAAAATGTGGTTCAGTGGAGTAAAGTAAACAATCTCCAGCTGAACACTGCAAAAACATGTGAACTTGTCTTTGACTTCAGTCGTAGCAGTTCTCACACTCCTGTAGTTATCGACAACTCCCAGGTGCAGATCGTAGAGGAGCAAGTTTCTGGGTTTAACTCTGTCTAACCTGAAATGGGTTAAAAACACTGACCGGGTCGTAAAGAAAGCTCGTCAGCGGCTCTTCTTTTTGCGGAAACTTAGAGAATTTACCACTAACTCTAAGATTCTGCTTAATTTTTATCGCTGCACCATTGAGAGTTTACTTGTTGGTTCTGTGTCTGTGTGGTTTGGAAACATCACAGATAAAGAAAAGAGAGCTTTAAACAAGGTGCTCCGCTCTGCAAAGAGGACCGTGGGCTGTGAGCTTCCTGTTCTGGAGGTTCTTTACAAATCCAGACTTTTAAACAAAGCTCTTAAAATCATCGGTGACTCTTCTGGCCACCCTGGGAAAGCCATGTTCCAGCTTCTTCCCTCTGGCAGAAGATATCGGTCACTGAGATGCAAGACATCGCGCTATGCTAACAGCTTCTTTCCACAGGCTGTTAGGTGCCTAAACAGAGCATTTTAATTCCTGCTTTTACCCCTTGTATCGTTTTGTTGATCGGTGCCACAGTGTCAGCTGTTTTTTTATTATTTTATATTCAGTGTATGTGTATTTTATATTACATTGTATCATGCTTTTATTCTGTCGGTGCACACAGAGTACCTTTTATTGCAAATGTATTCCAAAGTAGTTTTTGATACTGCACATGGCCAATAAATGAGAAGAAGAGAAGAAGAAGAAGATAAATCATGTGCAATGTGCAATACTGCGACTTCAGAATGTCACAGAACAATGTCTCTTTACCTCATGTCACTTTACTTATCTACTTATTATCCTGCACTATTTAACTGTACAGTATATAACTGCACTACTACATATATATTTTTTGACTGGTATTGAAGCATTTTCAGCATCTACAGCTAGTTATGTTAGCTAAGAAACATAGCTACTACTTATTTGTATATATTGTGTGATCCCTGTGTGCTCTTACTACTGTCCTGTCTGTGCGCTGCAACAAAGAAATTTCCCCACTGTGGGACGAATAAAGGAACTCTTATCTTATCTTATCTTATCTTGACCGTCTCCTTCAGGTGTTCATCTTGAACTAACCCTGACCCTCTCCTTCAGGTGTTCATCTTAAGCTCCAAGAGGAGCATGAACGTGGGCATCTTCCTGAAGCAGTTCAGACGGTGAGTCTCTGTGCTCGGTGTGAAAACCTGCTGCTCCCTCATCATCCCCTTGTCATTCAGTTTGATTGATCTGTGTATCGCCTAAATCACAACAGCAGTTGTTCAGGAAGACTGAGGCTGTAGACCCAGGACTGAGGCTGTAGACCCAGGACTGAGGCTGTAGACCCAGGACTGAGGCTGTAGACCCAGGACTGAGGCCGTAGACCCAGGACTGAGGCTGTAGACCCAGGACTGAGACTGTAGACCCAGGACTGAGGCTGTAGACCCAGGACTGAGGCTGTGGACCCAGGACTGAGGCTGTAGACCCAGGACTGAGACTGTAGACCCAGGACTGAGGCTGTAGACCCAGGACTGAGGCTGTAGACCCAGGACTGAGACTGTAGACCCAGGACTGAGGCTGTAGACCCAGGACTGAGGCTGTAGACCCAGGACTGAGGCTGTAGACCCAGGACTGAGGCTGTAGACCCAGGACTGAGGCTGTAGACCCAGGACTGAGGCCGTAGACATGTTTTCTTACAGACTGTATCTACAGTATTGTACTGTATCACATGTACTGTAACTCTGTACTGCAGACTGTATCTACAGTATTTACAGTACTGTATCACATGTACTGTAACTCTGTACTGCAGACTGTATCTACAGTATTTACAGTACTGTATCACATGTACTGTAACTCTACTGCAGACTGTATCTACAGTATTTACAGTACTGTATCACATGTACTGTAACTCTGTACTGCAGACTGTATCTACAGTATTTACAGTACTGTATCACATGTACTGTAACTCTGTACTGCAGACTGTATCTACAGTATTTACAGTACTGTATCACATGTACTGTAACTCTGTACTGCAGACTGTATCTACAGTATTTACAGTACTGTATCACATGTACTGTAACTTTGTACTGCAGACTGTATCTACAGTATTTACAGTACTGTATCACATGTACTGTAACTTTGTACTGCAGACTGTATCTACAGTATTTACAGTACTGTATCACATGTACTGTAACTCTGTACTGCAGACTGTATTTACAGTATTTACAGTACTGTATCACATGTACTGTAACTCTGTACTGCAGACTGTATCTACAGTATTTACAGTACTGTATCACATGTACTGTAACTCTGTACTGCAGACAGTATCTACAGTATTTACAGTACTGTATCACATGTACTGTACCTCTGTACTGCAGACTGAATCTACAGTATTTACAGTACTGTATCACATGTACTGTAACTCTCTACTGCAGACTGTATCTACAGTATTTACAGTACTGTATCACATGTACTGTAACTCTGTACTGCAGACTGTATCTACAGTATTTACAGTACTGTATCACATGTACTGTAACTCTGTACTGCAGACAGTATCTACAGTATTTACAGTACTGTATCACATGTACTGTAACTCTGTACTGCAGACAGTATCTACAGTATTTACAGTACTGTATCACATGTACTGTAACTCTGTACTGCAGACTGTATCTACAGTATTTACAGTACTGTATCACATGTACTGTAACTCTCTACTGCAGACTGTATCTACAGTATTTACAGTACTGTATCACATGTACTGTAACTCTCTACTGCAGACTGTATCTACAGTATTTACAGTACTGTATCACATGTACTGTAACTCTGTACTGCAGACTGTATCTACAGTATTTACAGTACTGTATCACATGTACTGTAACTCTGTACTGCAGACTGTATCTACAGTATTTACAGTACTGTACTGTATCACATGTACTGTAACTCTGTACTGCAGACTGTATCTACAGTACTGTATCACATGTACTGTAACTCTGTACTGCAGACTGTATCTACAGTATTTACAGTACTGTATCACATGTACTGTAACTCTGTACTGCAGACTGTATCTACAGTATTTACAGTACTGTATCACATGTACTGTAACTCTGTACTGCAGACTGTATCTACAGTATTTACAGTACTGTATCACATGTACTGTAACTTTGTACTGCAGACTGTATCTACAGTATTTACAGTACTGTATCACATGTACTGTAACTCTGTACTGCAGACTGTATCTACAGTATTTACAGTACTGTATCACATGTACTGTAACTCTGTACTGCAGACTGTATCTACAGTATTTACAGTACTGTATCACATGTACTGTAACTCTGTACTGCAGACTGTATCTACAGTATTTACAGTACTGTATCACATGTACTGTAACTCTGTACTGCAGACTGTATCTACAGTATTTACAGTACTGTATCACATGTACTGTAACTCTCTACTGCAGACTGTATCTACAGTATCCACGATCCACGCACTACTGCCTAGTTTTACATCAGAGGGTTTTGTGTTACTGCATTGTCTGTACTGTAAAGTATACAGTAGTACTGTGATGTAAAGTATACTGTAGTACTGTGTGTGTGTGAGTGTATATGTATATGTGTGTGCGTACGTGTCTGTGTGTTTGTGTGTGCGTGAGTGTATATGTGTGTACGTGTGTGTGTGTGTGCGTGTGTGTGTTTGTGTGTGTCTGTGTGTGTCTGCGTGTGTGCGTGTGTGCGTTTGTGTGTTTGTGTGCATGTTTGTGTTTGTGTGCGTGTTTGTGTGTGTGTGTGTTTGTTTGTTTGTGTGTGTCTGTGTGTGTCTGCGTGTGTGCGTGTGTGTGTTTGTGTGCGTGTTTGTGTGCGTGTTTGTGTGTGTGTGTGTGTGTTTGTGTGTGTGTTTGTGTGTGTGTGTGTGTTTGTGTGTGTGTGTGTGCGTGTGTTTGTGTGTGTTTGTGTGTGCGTGTGTGTGTTTGTGTGTGTGTGTTTGTGTGTGTGTGTGTGTGTGTGTGTGTGTGTCTGTAGTGTGTGTGTGTGTGTGTCTGTGTGCACTTGTTTTCAACTCCTGGTGGGTTCCATAACCTGAGATTCCACTCACGTCATGGGGACTGGTTTTACGTGGTGGGGCCCGAACACCGGACCCCACTGGTCCAAGCTTAATAATCAATGGGTAATGCTTTTCTAACGGTCCTTATGCAGTCTCTGTAAAAATATGGAAAGGACCCCTGGAGGTTTACTTTCCTGAAAAAAGTGTGTTATGTGTCGGAACCCTGGTGGTGGGTTGCGGGATATCAAGGAGGGGCACACTGGGGCAATTTCAGTCCAGCAGGCTGGAGCCAATCATGGAGCAGCACAACAGAGGAAATCAGGTGTCAGGCTAGAAAAAGGTGCAAGTGTGTGGTTCATTAGGCTGCAGCCAATCACAGAGCAGCACACTGAAGCGCACGCTTACAAACCACTGGTAAGTGCTGACTACAAGTCATGACTTCAAATTGTTATATAGAATGATTACAAATTATTTGTTGTTTGTGCAGCTTAGTCAAGAGTCCCTAATTGATGAAGTCGACTCAGATTCTGACGATTTAACTGTCAAGAAGAAACCTGTAAAAAAGTATGGAAAAAGAAAAATCAAAAACACTTTTCTTCAAGACTCGGAAAGTGACGAACCAAAGGCAAATAAGATTGTTATCATGCAGCTGCAAAAGAAGAAAAATGGGGGGCGAGTATACAGCAAGAGACACTTCTGCCTCTACTGTTCAATGTCCTGCCACAAAATGTCCCGTCATTTGACTAGAAAACATGGAAATGAAAGTGACGTAGCCAGAGCATTGGCTCTACCTGTGAAATCTAAAGCACGTAAACTTCAGTTTGATTTGATCAGGAATAGTGGAAACCGTGAGCACAATTTTGAGGTTTTAAAGGCCGGCATTGGAACTTTAGTCCCAGCTAAACAGCCAAATTGCCCAGTTAAATCCAGTGAGTTTTTGCACTGTATAGACTGTGGGGCATTGCTTAAGCGAAAGTCGCTGTGGAGGCATGTGGCCAGGTGCCGGCTTTCACAGAAAGATGCCCAGGCTAAACCAGGTAGAAGTAGGGTCCAGTCCCTCTGCTCCCTAGCCCAGCCTGTACCGGAGGGCATCAGCAAAAAGCTGTGGTCTTTAATTTCGGCAATGCATCAGGATGAGGTCACGGGTGTTGTCAAAGCAGAAAAGGGGATTCTGAGACTCGGAGAGCACCTGTACTTAAAACACGGGCATGATAAGACAAAGCATGATTACATTAGGCAGAAAATGAGAGAAGTCGGTAGGTTAATTAACGAAGCAAAAACCGCAGGGAAACTGAAAACAATTAAGGATTTCTTTATTCCTTCCAACTTTAACCATGTGATTGATGCAGTCAGGTCTGTGGCTGGATATGATGAGGAAACAAATCAATACAAGACTCCCATCCTTGGCCCTCAAACTCGGCCATAGCCTCAGAAAGCTAGCAGATATTCTTGAATGTGACTCAAAAATGGAGCATTGTGTTGATGAACTATTTATTAAAAACCTCCAACGAAGCCGGCTGCTTTTTGAGAAGAGGTGGGACGTCTGTGTTTCTTCTGCTGCCCTACAGACCCTCCGGCAAGCCAAGTGGAACACTCCGGACCTGCTCCCTCTGACTGAGGACGTTAGAGCCATGCATGCACATATTGAGGTATGTCGACCTGAATATGTGCAAACCCTAATAAGTGAGCCAACGTCTAAGCATTGGTCTAAACTGGCAGTTTTGACTCTTTGTGAGGTCATTATTTTCAATCGAAGAAGGGAAGGTGAGGTTTCAAAGATGCCACTGACAGCCTTTACCTTAAGAAGTAAGACTGGGATCCATTCTGACATTGCTCTGGGACTGTCCCAACTTGAGAAAAAGCTGTGTCAGCATTTTCAACGCATTGAAATTAAAGGGAAAAGAAGTCGGAAAGTGCCGGTTCTTTTGACTCCTGAAATGATTGCTTCGATGGAGGTGCTGGTGGAGAACAGAAGGGCCTGTTCCATCTCTGACCATAACCCATACTTCTTTTCCCGCCCGGGCGCAGACACCCACATCAGGGGATCAGACTCCCTACGCCAGGTAGCCAAAGAATGTGGTGCGGTGCATCCAGAGATGCTATCCTCAACCAAACTTAGAAAGCACATAGCTACTATGTCTACAGTTCTCAATATGAAAGAGAATGAGATGGACATACTTGCCAACTTCCTCGGCCATGACATTCGCATCCACAGGCAATATTACAGACTACCAGAGGGGACGCTGGAGCTGGCCAAAATCAGCAAAGTGTTGATGGCCATGGAGCAGGGAAGAGTGACGGAATTCGAAGGAAAGAGCCTCGACCAGATACAAATTGAGCCTGAAGGTAATTCTTGATATTATTAAAATATGTATGATTTTTTTCCCCTAAAGGCCACTTGTATTTTTATTTTCTGTGCGACAGGGAGAGCAGTAGAGATCCTCTCACAAACGGACGGGCTAAAAGAAACTTCAAGCGGAGAACCTTCAACCATTCATCCAGATGCACCCCATGGTAGTGGCAGTGCCCCTTCTGGTAAGTGTACCAGGTGGGGGATTACAGCCAGGCTGCTTGGTCCTAACCCTGGGAGTGTATATTGCTAATATATTTTTATTTCTCTCCCTAGAACGTTAGAGAAAGCCATGGTCTGCATCTGAGGTGAAGGCTGTGGAGAAGACCATGACACCTTTCATACAGACTGGAAAGGTCCCTGGGAAGTCTCACTGCCTGGCCTGCATTAATGCCTCACCAGATGACCTTAGACATCGGACATGGAGTGGCATTAAATTCTATGTCAAAAATAGAATCACTGCAATTCGAAAACAAAATCTAAAATAAAATTCCTTTAAAATAGTTGTTTGGTTTCTATTGACTGTTTTGTATTACTTAAAGTAGTCCCAGTAAAAAAAGATTATGTCTATGGGTCCCATTCTGAACGGCCCTGTCAAAGGGACCCACCAGGTAACAAAAACGTGTATGTGTGTGTTTGTGTGTGTGTTTGTGCGTGTGTGTGTTTGTGTGCGTGTGTGTGTTTGTGTGTGTGTGTGTTTGTGTGTGTGTGTGTGCGTGTGTTGTGTGTGTGTGTGCGTGTGTGTGTGTGTGTGTGTGTGTCAGAGAGCACCTTTAACCTCAGTGTTATGACCCTCAGACCTGTTGGAGACATGATCAGTGACATCACAGCAGGAAACTACCTGAGCTTTGGGACCGGGAAACTGAGAGAGCTGTGTAAGCTGCTGCCAGACAAGGAGGAGGTGAGTCTGCCACAGCGCCATCTGCTGGTGTCTGGGGGAACTACAACCCACAGTGTAAATATGCCAGGGCCACAGCGCCATCTGCTGGTGTCTGAGGGAACTACAACCCACAGTGTAAATATGCCAGGGCCACAGCGCCATCTGCTGGTGTCTGAGGGAACTACAACCCACAGTGTAA